CATGATATATTTATGGCTTAGGGTGCTATTAATATGTTCTTGCAGTAATATGTATTTTACAGTATAAATGTTAGCACATATCAGCCTTTAGAAACATAGCTTAGTGATTACCTCTTTGAGAATTTCATAAATTACTATAAAATAATATTTCACAAATTACTTCCTTCTCATATATTTATTTCAAACTCAAGAAGGGCTGTCTTAACTTAAATGGTTAGTGACCAGTGCACCTGAGCCCACCCAGCATTTGGGGATAATAGTTACCATTTACTTCTAATAAGCGTATTACCTGTTCTGTTTAGAAAAGCTGATCTATTTTGCCAAGTTCCTAGTTATGGTTATCTTAAAGTAGAAAATGGATCAAAGCCATATAGTCCATTAATAAATCAGTGCATTATTTCCTCTAAATAGCAGCATTCAGGCAGGAATAGAAATTAAGTTCACATTTTGAGCCTCAGGAAGCAATGGGAAGAAAAATAAGATGATGAGGATCATAAGAAATTTGTATTTGAAAAATATATATTTCACATGACTAAGAATGTAATTATTTCTTATCTTCATAAATCAGCAAATCCTTTAAAAGGATTTGTCCTTTTAACTTGTAACTGTAGAATTACAAGCCTATGTTTTTACATGTTCATGTAGGCTTTCAGAATAGTCTGGTTCAAGTTATTCAGAAATGTTTTCCTTAGAACTGAAATTAAGTAGTTGAAACGACGTATGAAATATTTTGACTTTCATTTTGTTTTAGAGAGAGACTACTGAAACTAAAGTTTTCATTTGACATGTAAAAGACAAGAGAGAGTAAGATACAAACTGGTTAGTGGTTAGAGATGTGGCTTCTGCCTGGTGTGGTGAAGGATGTGCTTCCTACTGGCCTAGCAGTCAGCCCCTTCAGCCTTTCTAATAGTGATGGGACTACTACAGCAACTGCAAGATGTTTACGTGAGAAAATTAGCATATAAGTACTTTGTTGACTATAAAGTAGTGTCATGGTAGTGATAATGTGCAGGGGACACAAAGCAAATGGTAACATCTAGTTGGTACAGGAGATAAACAGACTCAGTACATTTAGGGTGCTCCAGGTAACTGGACTCAAGCTTTAGCAGAGGGGTTTAAATGAAATGTGGGTGAGTCATGTGTTCTCCAGTAAACTGTCAAACAGCACCCTCTTTTTAGGTTCTGAAATAATTTCTTATCACAAAAGTTTTGATTTATCTACAGAGAGAAAAAGAAGGAATTGGAACGTGAAGAATTATGGAAAAAATTAGAGGAGCTAAAGCTAAAGAAAGCTTTAGAAAAACAGAATAGTGCTTACAACATGCACAGTGTTCTCAGCAATACAAGTGCCGAATAAGAAAATCCTCCCACCTCTGCCAGATAGGCACAGTTTTATATGCTTTTTTTGAAATATGTAAAAATTACAAAACAAACCTCATCATTATAATATAATTAAAAGGCCAATTTTTTTCTGGCAACTGTAAATGGAAAAATATACGGACTAAACATAGCCCTGTGCTGTATCATGGCCACAGTATATTGTAACCTTTGTCTAATCATTGGATTTATTGTGTCACTTCTGAGGCTTCACAGAAAGGAATTCTATCATCTATGATATGAGTGAGATAATTATGGGAGTGGTAAGAATTATGACTTGAATTCTTGATTGTGTTGCACATAGATATGGTAGTCTGCTCTGTATATTTTTCCCTTTTTATAATGTGCTTTTCACACTGCTGCAAACCTTAGTTACAGCCTAGGAAAAAGAATACTTCCTGAAATAAAACTAAGGTGTCATCCTTACCCTTCTTTGTCTCACCCAGAAATATGGTGGGGGGAATTACCTGCACTAACCCCTCTCTCAATAAAGATATTACTGTACTCTGGAATTTAGGCAAAACCTTAAATCTCCAGGCTTTTTAAAGCACAACATATAAATAAAAGCTGGGAAAGTAAACCAGAATTCTTTAGATTGTTCCTCATAAATATCCCCCTTCCTCTGCAATTCCCCAAAGTGGTAATAGATGGGTAGAGGCAGGTCAGTAAATGACCTAGCTTGCCTCTCAATTCATTCCTCCTCTTCCTCTCAAAGGCTGAAGGCAGGGCCTTTCCAGTCCTCAGGACCTGCCCTTCACCTAGTCCCTCCTGACCCAGGGATGGAGGCCACCACACCCATAGTGTGGTGATACAGAGCACTAGTTGTCACTGCCTGGCTTTATTTAAAGGAAATGCAGTAGGTTTCCTCTGTAGAGCTCTGGAAAGGCTAACTATATAGAGGTCTTGTATGTTTTTACTTGGTCAAGTATTTCTCACATCTTTTGTTACCAGAGTACCATTCCAATCTCTTAACTTGCAGTTGTGTGGAAAACTGTTTTGTAATGAAAGATCTTCATTGGGGGATTGAGCAGCATTTAATAAAGTCTATGTTTGTATTTTGCCTTATGTCATCTTTGCTTCTTTTAGCTCTAAGCTTAAGCATACACTGAAAAGCCTGCTTTTTTACATATATACATACATATATATATAGAAACTTTTAAGATAAATTGTGGGATGAAGTCTAATTTAAAAATAGGAAGATTGTGTGCCAAGGTTGAGTGTTCTAGCCTTTTACGAAAATACCTGTTTTACAGAATATTTGTAGAAAATTCGAAGTTCTAGGGTATCCCTCCATCATTTTTATGTCCTTGTATGTTTAGAGGATAGGTTTAATTTACTTTGAAGCTAGTTTTTCATAATCCATAATACATAGCACTTTTAGTGAAGCCCAGGGAGCCTGTGGCAGTTAGAAATCAGACGTTCTTGGCCAGACGTGGTGGCCAGCACTCTGGGAGGCCGAGGCAGGGGTATCACCTGAGGTCAGTAGTTGACCAGCCTGGCCAACATGGTAAAACCCTGTCTCTACTAAAAATACAAAAATTAGCCAGGCATGGTGGCAGGTGCCTGTAATACCAGCTACTTGGGAGGCTGAGGCATGAGAATCACTTGAACCCAGGAGGCTGAGGTTGCAGTGATCCAGTATTGCACCACTGTACTCCAGCCTGGGTGACACAGCGAGACTCTGTCGAGAGAGAGAGAAAGAAAGCAGACATAACTGTAATAAAGTGTTACCCACTACTGATGTTTACTTCTGCTTTCTTTAATATCAGTTAAAAACTCTAGCATAGGGTCTGCACACTACTCCCAGGTCATCATGAAAGCACTATACCAAAAGGAAGATAACCAAAATTCTTCCTTTTAGTACAAAGGCTCCTATTTTATTGTTCTCAAGTAATAGGTATTGTAGAGTCACCTTGTCATGGCCGTCACGTTAAGGTGTTCCTTCCAGATTCTCCACAGTCATGCAGGGCCAGCCAGTATTGCTGACCGCTGTCGACAACACAGCTGGGTGATTAAAAGGATGATCCTAAACAAAAGAGAAGGAAAGGCAAGCACCTGCCTTTCCAGAAAGTGAAGGTTAGGTCTAAATGTCTATTCTGTGGAAGGTTTAGGTATATTTCTTCTACTGAAGAAAAGCCAGAGTAGATTTTTGAGAGGTTACAGGCAATAAAGGTTTTTTTCTCTGAAAAGGTAAAAACTGTTCAGTTCCTAATTATGTACTTACATGAAAGCACATTTAGTAGGTCTCTCAACCTTTTTTTTTGAGATGGAGTCTCACTCTGTTGCCCAGCTGGAGTGCAGTGGTGTGATCTTAGCTCACTGCAACCTCTGCATCGTGGGTTCAAGCGATTCTCCTGCCTCAGCCTCCCGAGTAGCTGGGATTACAGGCACATACCACCACGGCGGCTAATTTTGGTATTTTTAATAAGAGATGGGGTTTCACCATGTTGGTCAGGCTCATCTTGAACTCCTGACCTCAGGTGACCCACCATGCCTGACCTCAGCTTTCCAAAATATAGTATGTTCATTGAAACAAATGTTATTAGATATTTAAGTAATATTAAAGTCATTGGCTAGGCACAGTGGCTCATGCCTGTAATCCCAGCAGTTTGGGAGGCTGAGGCAGGGGGATTACTTGAGCTCAAGAGTTGGAGACCAGCTTGGACAATGTGTAAAACTTCATCTCTACTAAAAATACAAAAATTAGCCAGACATGGTAGCACATGCCTGTAATCCCAGCTTCTCAGGAGGCTGAGGCAGGAGAATCACTTGAACCCAGGAGGCGGAGGTTGCAGTGAGCTGAGATTGCACAACTACAGCTTGGGCAACAGAGTGAATGACGCTGTCTCCAAAAAAAAAACAAAAACAAAAATAAAGCGACATATCACTGTTAGACATGCTTTAAAAAAACACAGCTCCCTTTTTGTCAGTACCATTAATGTAAGCTTTCAAACCTGGCTTTGCATCTGCCCTGCTAAAATAAGATTTTATAAAAAGACCTAGGCTAAAACCCGAATTCTCATGCCTCTGTGGAGCAGAAAAGTGGCCGGGAATATTTCTTTACACAGTTCACTAGTAATCATTCAACCAAAAAAGTTTCTTCCTGGACACAAGACAATTTAAAATGTCTATCCATACATTTGAGTTATTCCCTTTGGATTATCAGAAGCCAGATTACAAAATTTAGAAAATGCTACCAAGTCATCTTTGAGATAACAGGTATATAAACAATTTAAAACTCTGGAAACAATTTTTAGAATCTTAATGTAAAAAATAATCTAGACTTTTTTTTTCAAATGCATACTCATCCCTGTCAAAGGCTAGGCTAAAAGCTTTCAGAATCATACTGTGGGTGCCCCTTCCTCAGATGATGGGTGGTTTTATAAACACAGTAAAGAGTTAACCAGACTTACTCAGAGGGCACCAGGTCACTCTTCCTGGGCACCTGCCATCAGTTGCCATGCCCAATAAACCCTTCCCTGGAAGCAGTTAGAACATACCTTGAGAGTCAGATCCATCCATCTTGGGAGTCCAGACTCACACTAGCTTTTTGTTTTCTGGAAGTCACCAAATGAGAGTATTGGTGCCTGATGATTTAGCAGATATTCATACTGTCACACTCATTCCTTTTGTATTAACCTTTTATTTACCTGTTAATGAAATCATTAAAATACGCTGAGTAGGCACCTACTATGTACATCTGTCCTAGTGCTTTTGAAGAACGTTAATCTAAATTCCTACATCAACAAACATTCTAGCTAGACAAGTAGGTGACTAGTCAGTCCATTAAGAAACTTAATTACTAGTTTCAAGTAGATTTAAAGTCTCATTTAACCTTTAACAAATCAAAGAGCATATCAGAGGCTGGACATCAATGGCAGATAATGCCAAAGTTACAGGCTTTTGGCTTTGTGTACAGTGCATACGCTCCAAAGCATGACCTGCACATCTTGATAGGATTTTTGGAAAAAGGAAATCACATTCTTCTGTCCACTTTTAAAAGGTGAAAAGTAGGGCCTTCATTATCCTATTAGAGCTTAACCTAATAAAATACAATGAACCAAACAGGAAGAAAGGCATCTTTCACAAACTCTACTCAAAAGTCATTGGCCAGCTCTTTTAAAAAGTTCATTAATAATTTAAATATTTAACTTTCAGGTTATCAATTAGGTCTTTTCTATTAGGCTCTACACAGTCTCTTTGAGGGCCAGGTTAGAAGTTCCAGTTTGACATGTTGTTCCTCCCAGCAAGGCCCCATTTCTTCAAGTGAGTACAGGATTGTTGATAGCTCAGTTTATAAAGTGGAAGCGATGACAACTCCCATTGATGTGGGCAGTTCTGTAAACATGACAAGGTGACTTCAGCTTATGTGGTTTGTTGCCTGACCTCTTCTTTTAAGGTATCTCTTTCTAATTTTGATCATCCATTTTATACTCAGTTTGGCAAACTCCGCTGCTTTAAATAATGCCAAGAAGGCCCCACAGAGAAGAGCAATTGTGTTCCAAGGATTGGCAGTGATTATCTGTGAAGCAAATAGAAACAAACAGGATTACTGGTTTGCTTCGGTCTTGATTCTTATGTTACAGTGTTATTGTCAAGAGCCCTTCCCAAATTATTAGGACTGTAAGAAAATTACTACGTTCTGAAACTGTGAGAACTCTATGCTTCATTCAGACTGTACTTTTAATGTCTATAGCTCAGTTTGAGGAGAAAAATAACTATTCCCTCCCTATGATAAAGCGATTCTGAAAGAAAGCTGTTTTTCAAAAAAGCTCTGCACAAATAAGATATGTAATATATAATCTTGTGGCCTAATCTGACCATATGTGACCTTGCTTTGAGACAAATTTCCCTGCAACTATACTCAATCCATAAGGTCAGCGCCTCTTGTTCCCATCTCATAGTTACCTTAGTTTCAAGTATTTCCTCATCTCTAGTCCAATGGCTGTCCTTCCTCCCAAATTCAGAGGATTCCTGCCTCTAGGCCTCTGCTCTTATTCCCCATCTGTGATGCTTTCCTCCTGTCTAGATTTACTCATCCTTCAAAGTCTCGAAGCTTTCCCTTACCATTAAGCTAAAACCCTTGCTGGATTTCAGCAGAGCTATTTATCCTATGAACTCCTAGCCTATCATTTAAACTAGTCTGGAATCAGTAATTTAAAGCAAGAGGATTGTTCTCTCACTAAATGTTAAACTCTTTAAGGCAGAGGTCTGATCTTGGATTTCTGACTTCTACCACCATCCGGTAAAAATAATTTTTTTTTTTTTGACAGAGTCTTGCTCTATCTGTCTCTAGGGTGGAGTGCAGTGGTGCCATCTCAGCTCACTGCAACCTCCACCTCCTGGGTTCAAGCGATTCTCCTGTTTCAGCCTCCCGAGTAGCTGGGACTACAGGCCGCACAACACCACACCCAGCTAATTTTTTTTTATTTTTAGTAGGGATGGGGTTTCATCATGTTGGCCAGCATGGTGTCGATCTCTTGACCTCATGATCCACCCACCTTGGCCTCCCAAATAAAATACTTATAAGCTCAATTTAGCAGGGTGACCTTAGTATGCTCTACAGTGTTCACATATGCAAAATGGTGACACCACCACTGTTTATAGGACTGTAGTGAAGCTGAGGAAAGCATGCCTCAGGTACTGGGCTCCACTTGGCCCATACTAGGTACTTCATACTGTATATAGAAGGTTAGAAAATGGTTCATCACACATTTACACGACAAGCTGCAAGCTCATTTCCCCAGTCTTGATTCAGTAAGTCTCTGCACATCCCTCTGCATACACAGCCTGCCAACCCATAATTAATAGTGGTAGTTAGTGGGTGATAGTGAAACAAGCACATTCACATCACAGAATCCCCGCCTGGGGTTGGAAACTAACATGTTTGGGTCTCAGCTATGAAACTGTTTTCCATAAGCCACGATCATGTCACGACATACTGTGATGACCTGAATGCCAGTTAATACTAGATTTGGGTCTGGCTCTGGTGGATGGTGTGTCATGAATGTTCCTTTGGCAAAGCTGTCCAATTATTCCTGCCCTTCCAAGATCATGAGTCAGAATTTGACATTAGAGGATGTGGAGCCAGAGATGGCTAAAGAGAACCCTCAAGTGATAGTCCTCTGCAGGAACACCAAACTGAACTATCCATGTAAAAAAGTATCTAAATAAGAGCCAAAAAATCAGGTGAGAGATCACAGTATCTGGCTTAGTATAGTAACAGGAAAAGACACACTGAAGAAGATAGAAAGGAGGGTCTCACATTTCCTACACACCCCTCCCCCAACCCTAGGCAGAGCAGCAGAGAGTATCTGTGAGCTTGGGGGAGAGGGAAGTGAGTCTAGGACTTTGCATCGGAACTCCACAGGGGAACACAGCACCAGGCAGAATTCTGAGGTCCTGATTCCAGGCTAGAGCCCTTGAAAAGAGTATTAGGCCCACCCAGATCAGAGCGACATCTGCCTCTCCAGTGGGAGGAAACCAAGTCTGGAGCCACTTTACAATAAAGTGGCTTTGGGCCCCAAATAATTTCAATGGCAGCTAGGCCACAGCAATCACAGCCCTGGTGCTGCACTAGTCTGGGAATCTATAGGTTTGAGATATAATCCACAATCTGCCTCAAATCCAGTCAGTACAGCTTGGTGAAACATTCCTGCTTGGGCAAATGAGAGGGAAGACTACGAGGGACTTTGCCTTGGAACCTAGTACCAGCCCTGCCACAGTAAAAAAAAAAAAACAAAAAAAAACCAGCACCAGGAAGAATCCTGAATCCCCGAATTATAGGCCATTGCTCCCAAACAGCGCTTCTAAACCCACCATGGCCAAAAGGCAATCTGCCACCCTAGTGGGATGGACCCAAACCCCAGCCAGCTTCATCACTGGATGACTAAAGTGACCTTAGGCAAACCCGAGTATTGCAATGGTCTAGGAGCCATGGGAGCCCGGCCTTACCCCTCCCCAACTCCAGGCAGCTCAGAGCAGAGAGAAACTCCTTCCCCTTGAGGGAAAGAGATCAAAGTAAGCAAGGGACTGTGCCTAGTAACCCCCAGGCATTCTCTCTCATCCTCCCCACATACATCAAAGCTGGGTATCTAGAAGTCTGCAAGACAGTCACAGTGTAACTTGGCTTAGACTGCCCTCTAGTGCTGAAAACGGCTGCAGTGACCACACACTTAGGGAACTCATCATCAGTCTCTTTTCATTTCGTAGAAAACCCTCTGAAACAGATGGGTATACACAAGGGTAGACTGTGAAGTCTGAAAAAAATATCTAAGTAATCAATGCCCATAAGCACCAGAAAAATTCAGAGAAATATGATCTCATCAAACAGACTAAGGTGCTAGTGACCAATCTGGAAGAGACAGAGATGTGTGACTGCTCAGGGAATTAAAAAAAGCTGTCCTGAGGAAACTCCAAGAACTTCAATGAAACACAAAGACTCAATTCAGAAATTTATCAGAGAAATGCAACAAATTAAAATAATTTTTAAAATTCAGATAGAAATCCTAGAGCTGAAAAGTACAATTAACAAACTGAAAAATGCATCAGTGTCTCAAACACAGAATTGATGAAGCAGAAGAAAGAATTAGTGAGCTTACAGGCAAGTTATTTGAAAATACACAAATGAAAAAAAAATAAAAAGAATGAAGAACATTCACAAGGTCTAGAAAATAGCCTCAAAAGGGCAAATCAAGAGTCAACGGTCTTAAAAAAGGGAGTAGAGAAAGAGATAGGGGTAAAAAGTTTAGTCAAAGAAATAATAGCAGAGAAGTTTCCAAACCTAAAGATATGAATATCCAGGTATAAGAGGGTCTAGAGAAGGATATGAATATTCCAAGTACATGAAGGTCAAAGAATACCACCAAGTAGATTCAACCCAAATAAGACTACACTAAAGTATGTAATAATCAAACTCTCAAAGGCCAAAGCAAAGAAAGGATCCTAAAAGCAGTAAAAGAAAAGCAGCAGACAAGATAAAGGAGCTCTGATACATCTTGCAGCAGACTTCTCAATGGAAACCTTACATGTTAGGAAGAAGTGGGATGACATATTCAAAGTGCTGAAGCAGGAAGAAAAAAATACTGCCAACCAAGAATACTGTACCCAGCAAAGCTACTGAATCCTTCAAACATGAAGTAGAAATACTTTCCCAGACAAAATCTGAGGAAATTAATCACTACTAGAACTCTCTTATGAGAAAATCTAAAGTCAGTTCTTCAATCTGAAATAAAAGGACACTAACATGCAACAAGAAATCATCTGAAGGTGTAAAACTCACTGGTAAAAGTAAGTATACAGACAAATCAGAATCCTGTAACTAGGGTGTATAAACCATATCTTTAGTATGAAGACTAAAAGATGGATCAAAAATAATAACTGCAACAATCTGTTAAGAAACAGGCAATATAAAAATATAAACAGATAGAATAAAAAGTCAAAATAGAGTTGAAATGTAGTTTTTTTTCTTTCTTTTTTTGAGACGGAGTCTCCCACTGTCGCCCAGGCTGTAGTGCAATGGTGTGATCTCAGCTTACTGCAATCTCCGCCTCCTGGGTTCAAGCAATTCTCCTGCCTCAGCCTCCTGAGTAGTTGGGACTACAGGTGTGCGCCGCCATGCCCAGCTAATTTTTTTGTATTTTTAGTAGAGATAGGGTTTCACCAAGTTAGGCCCAGATGGTCTTGATCTCCTGACCTTGTGATCCACCCACCTGGGCCTCCCAAAGTGTGGGGATTATAGGCGTGAGCCACCATGCCCAGGCTGAAGCATAGTTTTTAAAGTTTTTTTCTTTATTTCTTTGTGATCAAAGTTAAGTTGTCCTCAGTTTAAAATAACTTGTTTTAATTGAAAGGTGTTTTTTATAAGCCTTATGGCAACCATAAAGCAAAGACCTGTAATGGAGAGAATAAAAATAAAAAGCAAGGAATTTAAACAATCATTTATTACAAAGACAATAAGAAGAATGAAGTTACAAAACCAGAAAACAGAAAACAAAATAGCAGGAGTAAGTCCTTCTCTATCAATAATAATATTGAATGTAAATCGACCAAATTCTTCAACTAAAAGACATAGTAGCTCAATTTATTTAAAAACCAGACCCAACTGTATGCTGCCAGACAGCATATACTTCACCAATAAAGACACACAGATTGAAAGTGAAGAGATGAGCCAGACACAGTAGCTCACACCTATAATCCCAGCACTTTGGGAGGCCAAGGTGGGTGGGTCACCTGAGGTCAGGAGTTTGAGACCAGCCTCACCAACATGACAAAACCTCTTCTCTACTAAAAATACAAAACTAATCCAGGTGTGGTGGCACATGCCTGTAATTCCACCAGTCAAGAGGCTGAGGCAGAAGAATTGTTTGAACCTGGGAGGTGGAGGTTGCAATAAGTCAAGATCATGCCACTGCACTCCAGCCTGGACGAGAGAGCAAGACTCCATCTCAGGGGAAAAAAAAAGTGAAGGGATAGAAAAAGACATCCCACACAATTTTTTTTTAAACAGGTGTAACTATACCTACAGCAGATAGAATAGACTTCAAGTCAAAAGCTGGAAAAAGAGACAAAGATCATTATAATGGGGTCAATTTGACAAGAAGATGTAACAACCATAAATACATATGCACTCAACATCATGAGAGCAACAAAATACATAAAGCCAATATTAATAAATCTAAAGGGAGAGACAGACTGCAATCAATAATAGTAGGGGACATCAGTGTCCCACTTACAGCAATGGACAGATTATCTAGACAGAAAATCAACAAACATTGGAATTAAACTATACTCTAGACCAAGTGGACCTAACTGACATTTACAGAATATTTCATACAACTGCTACAGAATACATATTTTTCTCATCAGCACATGAAACATTCTCCAGGGAACACCATATGTTGGGCCATAAACCAAGTCTCAACTAATTAAGAAAAATCAAAATCATATCAAGTATCTTGTCTGCCCACGATGAAATAAAAGTAGAAATCAATAATGAGGAATTTTGGAAACTGTACAAATATGTGGAAATTAAACATGATGCTCCTTAGTGACCAAAGGTCAATGAAGAAATTAAAAAGGAAATTTTAAAATTTATTGAACAAATGAAAATGGAAAAAATATACCAAAGCCTATGAGATCAGCAAAAGCAGTACTAAAAGGGAAGTTTATAACAAATGCCTACATCAAAAAAAGTAGTGATTTCAAATAAGCTAATGATGACCTCAGAGAACTAGAAAAGGACAAACCAAACCCAAATTTATCAGAATAACGATCAAAAGAAATAAACGAAACTAAAACTCAAATGAAAAGTTAGTTGTTTGAAAAGATAAACAAAATCAATAAACCTTCAGTCAGACTAAGAAAAACAGAATGAAGACCCAAATAAATAAAATCAGACCAAAAAAAAAAGACATTACAATTGATGTCACAGTAATATAAAGATTCGTTAGAGACTTATGAACAACTATATGCCAATAAAGGAAAACCTAAAAGTGGAAAAATTCCTGGATACATAGAGTCTACCAAGATTGAACTCTTGTATCAAGAGTTCATGGTAGTTGAACCATGAAGAAATAGAAAACCTGAATAGACCAAAATGAGTCACAAGATAGAAACAGTAATAAAATGTCTTCCATCAAAGAAAAGCCCAGCACCTGATAGCTTCATTGCTAAATTTTATCAAACATTTAAAAAAATTAATAGCAATTCTACTCGAACTATTCCAAAAACTTGAAGAATATTTCTAAACTTGTTCTGCAAGGCCAGCATTACCCTGATACTAAAACAAGACAAAGATACAATAAAAAATGAAAACTACAGACCAATATCCCTGATCAACATAGATGCATAAGTCCTCAACAAAATAACAGCAAACCAAATTCAGTAATATATTAAAAAGATCATTCACCATTATCAAGTGGGATTCATCCCAGAGATGCAAGGATGATTCAACATATGTAAACCAATAAACATAATACATCTTATTAACAGAATCAAGATAAAAAATCATGTAATCATTTCAATAGATGGTAAAAAAGCATTTGAAAAAATTCAACATACTGTCATGATAAAAACTCTTAATGGGTTGGGTGTGGTGGCTCATGACTGTAATTCTAGCACTTTGGGAGGCTGAGACAAGCAGATCTCTTGAGGTCAGGAGTTTGAGACCAGCCTGGCCAACACAGTGAAACCTTATCTCCACTAAAAAATACAAACTTTAGCTGGGCATGGTGATGTGCACCTATAATCCCAGCTACTTGGGAGACTGAAGCACTAAAATCACTTGAACCTGGGAGGCAGAGGTTGTAGTAAGCTGAGATCATGCCACTGCACTCCAGCCTGGGCAACAGAATGAAACTGTGTCTTTAAAAAAATAAATAAAACTCTTAAACAACTCAACAAACTGAGTATAGAAGGAACATACCTCAAAATAATAAAGGTCATATATGACAAACCCACAGCTAACATCATATGGGGAAAAACTGAAAACCTTTCTTCTAAGATCTGGAACAAGACAAGGATGCCTACTTTCATCATTTTTGTTCAACATAATATTGGAAGTCCTAGCCAGAGCAATTAGACAAGAGAAAGAAATAAAGGAAATCCAAATTGAGAAGAAGTCAAACTGTCTTTCTTTGTTTGCAAATGACATGATCTTATATTTTGAAAAACGTAAACACTCCACCAAAAAACTGGTAGAACTGATAAATTCAGTAAAGTCACAGGACACAAAATCAACACCCCCAAATCAGGAGTATTTCTATATGCTGTGAACAATCTAAAAAAGTTATAGCAATGAAAGAATAAAATGAATAATAAAGGAGCGATCCCATTTACAATAGCTATAAAAAATATAAAATACCTAGGAATAAATTTAACCGAAGAAGTAAAAGATCTCTATGATGAAAACCGTAAAATATGGATGAAAAAAATTGAAGACACAAAAAAATGGATAAATAGCCTATGTTCATGGATTGGAAGAACTAGCATTGTTGAAATGTCCACACTACCCAAAGCAATCTACAGACTGAATGCAATTCCTACAAAATACCAACGACATTCTTTACAGAAGTAGAAAAAAAAAATCCTAAATTCTGTATGGAACCACAAAAAAACACTAAATAGCCAAACCAATCCTGGGCAAAAAGAACAAAGCTGAAGGCATCACACTACCTGACTTCAAAATATACTACAAAGTTATAGTAAACAAAGTAGCATGGTATTGGCATAAAAACAGATACACAGACCAATGGAACACAACAGAGAATCCAGAAATAAGTCTATGTATCTGCAACCAACTCATTTTTGACAAAGACACCAAGAAAATACAATTGAGAAAGCACAGTCTCTTCAATAAATGGTGCTGGGAAAATTGGATATCCATACACAGAAGAATGAAACTAGACCCTATCTCTTACTATCTAGAAAAGTCCAGTCAAAATGGATTAAAGACTTAAATCTAAGACTTAAAATTATAAAACTAGAAGCAAACAGTAGGTTAATGCTTTAGGACATTGGTCTGGACCAAGATCTTTTTGGTAAGACCTCAGAAGCACAGGCAACAAAGGTAAAAACAGAAAAACAGGATTACGTTAAGCTAAAAAGCTTCAGTTCAGCAAAGAAAAAACAAAGTTAAGAGACAACCTACAGAATGGGAGAAATTATTTGCAAACTATGCATCCAACAAGGGATTAGTAACCAGACTATATAAGGAGCTCAAACAACTCAATAGTAAAAAAGCCAAATAATCCAATTTTAAATGGGCAAGAATTCTGAAGAGACATTTATCCCAAAAGATGACATTCAAATGGCCAAAAGGCATATGAAAATATGGTCAACAACACTAATCAATCAGGGAAATGCAAATCAAATCCAAAATAAGGTATTACCTCCCCTCAGTTAAAATGACAGTAACAGATGCCAGACAGTAATCAAAAAGACAGTAACAGATACCAGTGAAGACATGGAGAAAGGGGAATGCTTGTATACTATTGGTGGGAATGTAAATGATTAAAGTCACTATGAAAAAACAGTATAGAGGTTCCCTCAAAAAACTAGAAAAACTACCACATGATCCAGCAATCTCATAGCTGGGTGTGTATCCAAGAAAAAGAGGAAAGAAAGGAAATCAGCGTATCAAAGAGTTATCTGCACTCCCATGTTTACTGTAGCAGTATTTATAACAGCCAATATATGGAATCAACTCAAGTGTCCAACACTTAGGATGAATGGATAAGGAAAATGTGGTATATATACACAATGGGAATATTATTCAGCTATAAAAAGAATGAAATCCTGTCATTTGCAGCAACATGAACAAAACTGGAGAACATTATGTTAAGTGAAATAAGCCAGGCACAGAAAAACAAGTATCACATGTTCTCACTCATGTGGGAATTTAAAAAATCAGTCTCATGGAGGTAGTGAGTAAAATGGTGGTTACCAGAGGCAGGGAAGGGTTGGGGAAAGCAGGAGATGAAGAGAAATTGGTTAATGGGTACAAAAATACAGTTAGATGATATGATAGTATAGTTAGAGCAGTTATATTTAACAAGAACGTATTATATATTTCAAAATAGCTAGAGGAATGTTCCCAATGCAAGGAAATGATAACTGTTTGAGATGATGGATAACCCAACTACCCTGATTTGATCATTAGACCTTGTATGCATGTATCAAAATATTACATGTACCACATAAATATGTATATTGTATATCAATTTTTTTAAAATATGGTATTAATGCTTTGCTAATTATTTATTTGTGCTGTTCAGCTCTGACTTACTACAAGTAGTAGGTATTTATCCTACAGAGAACCATTTAGAAAAAGAACAACGTGCAACTGTAATAACCCGTATAGTAGTAACTCAATGCCTTCTACTCCATTTATTCAATGAACGTTACTACTAAGCAGCTACTCTGCACTAAGCACTCTGCTATATACCAGATAAATTATGGTGAGCAAAATGAAAGTTTCCCTCCTTCACAGAGAAAGTCTCATGATGAAGACAAGACCAAACACAAAGAATATATAACACTAACATCATAAATATAAATTATGAACTGATTTGTGTCATGAAAAAAGATGAGGACAGGTAGGTAGTCTTATCAGTCTACAAGAATGAGCCAAAATGCTTCAGGGAAGGGGGTTTTGCTATCATAATCTTAAATAATACTCACATCTTGGACTTTCTGGATGAAAGGATCTTTCCATTCAAAGACCACAAAAAACAACTGAGCACTTTTTTCGGCAGCTGGCCTCTGGTCAATGTAGTTAACCACACTTGTCTGGATATGGAGGAGAAAAAGCAGTGTTACCACCTCTGTGTACCCTTCCCTCACCTGTGCCCAGGAAAATGTGAGCGAGTAGGAAGGGGATCATAGACTGTGGTTCTCCTCACACTATCTTTTGGAGAGAGTGGCAAAAATCTCATATATACAAGATCCTGAACACTGGTAGCAAAGCCAAGGCTTTACCTTGGTTTACATGGTTCTCTGGGGAAATGGGATCTGTGATATACAACAGGTGTTTTGGATTGTCACTGAAATTTGTCACTAGGTATCTGTACTCACAATTAAACCATATTCACGGCTGGCATGGTGGCTCACGCCTATAATCCCAGCACTTTGGGAGGTCGAGGTAGGCAGCTCACCTGAGGTCAGGAGTTCGAGACCAGCCTGGCCAACACGGTTAAGCCCTGACTCTACTAAAAATACAAAAATTAGCTGGGCATGGTGGTAGGCACCTGTAATCCCAGCTACTTGGGAGGCTGAGGCAGGAGAACCACTTGAACCTGGGAGGCAGAGGTCATAGTGAGCCAAGATCACGCCACTGCACTCCAACCTGGGGGATAGAGCAAGATTCTGTCTCCAAAAAAAAAAAATAATAAATAAATAAGCAAGCCATATTCAAACCACCATATAGGTCCAACAATTAAAAGCAATAAAAATTCCAAATTTCAAAATACTTGGTTTTCAAACCAAGTATTTGTCTGAACTTTGAACCCTTGTTTCAACCCTTGAATTTTACAGGGACAAAGCACAGCCGCATAAATCCACAGAGCTGAGCATTCCCTGTAAAGACTTAGTAGATGTGCTTGGTGAGATCTGGTTGTCAATTACTAAAGAGGCTGTGTGGTATAACAGAGAGCAGACAGGTTACAGAAGCAGAAACCAGCTCCACCCAGAGGCTCGGATCCATCATCAGAGCTGAGCCTCAGCTTTGCCACCGCAAAATGGAACAAAATGCCTATGTCACTACAGTATGGCGGCATACCTATGTGAGAGCATTCTAAACCCTAAAATGTGATTTTAAAACACATTTTTAGTTTTGTCCAAAAGTGCTCATAACACCATCAAGACTTCCAATGTAGACAGTAATAAAAGGCATTAAAATTTCTTAAATGTATAGGTTCACTAGGGTTTTCACTCCTTGGTTTTGGGTCACAGTGGGAGCTACCAGGAGAGCCAGGGTAGATGGGGTTACACTTAATTGTAAGGTAAATGAACACAGTCTCCTTTCTAAGAGCTGTTGTGGGGCCAGATAAGACCTGAATCAGGTAAGACAGAAAAGGCCAGATAAGACAGGTAAGACTTGAATAAGGACTTGAATCTTGGAGCAAATTTGGAAGTAAAAATCTTGGAGATGACAGTTATCTTACAAAATCGGAATATTTTAAGGTCCAATCACCAGAGGGGGTTGTCACTTCCCAAAGCAGGAAAAATAGCCTTGCTTCCTGGAAGAAAACTGGCCTTGAGCCTCTTCCAAGTATCCAGCCTGAGGAGCTAGGGCTCATGAAAGGGCCTTGTTTAAGACTAACCCAACACAGTCCCCTCCTGCCTAACTTCCGGCCGGTGACGGCCTAGTTGGCTGGAGTGTGTCCTTCTGCTTGAAATGCACATCATGAGCCATTGGGATGCAGGAGGAAAAGACTAGCTTTTTTTAGTATTTATTTTTATCTCATCCTTTTAACATTTCTATTTTTGAATGTTAAACTGTATGTAACATTAGAACAATAATAGTGTGTTCTAGATGTGTATCCTCATACTAGAGTATCCTCATACTAGAGATGCAGTAGACCCTTGAACACCACATGTTTGACCTGGGTGGGTCCACTTACAAACTGATCACTTGCAAAGTTTTATGTATATGGAGTATATGCTCAAAAAGTTTTTACTTATGGAAAATCTGATCAAAAAGTTTTTAGCCCACCAGCCTAGAGGCCAGGAGATATGCCTGATATCTCTTGCTATGATGCCCGTGAGAGCTGAAGAGGACCTTAGGAAAAGGATCACATGCACACTTGGGACCACTGTGTCTTACTGTCACTTCCCTGCAAATAAACAATCTGCTATGCCACTGCCAGCCTCCCACAGTGCTGCCAGATGCAGGATGTCACACATGGCTGGGTGAGTTACTGACCTCACTGCAAGCCGCAGTGATCTCTGCCCCACACATGCATTCTGTGAAGACTGGCTAGTATGTGCACTGCCTGCAGAATAGACTCCCTGGCATGGCATAAGAAGTCCTCCATGGGGGTCCCTTCTCATCCCAGCCAACGCGTAATCACCCTCAAGGCCCTGCTCAAAGGACCCTTCTCTGCAAAGCTTCCCTCCACTTCATACTCGATTGTGGAAAAGTCACCAGCAGTTTTGAGCAAACCCAGAGCCACCTACCTCCTGCCGGAACTCCACTGCTTCCCGCCCATCTTCCTCCTTGGTCTTCACCAGTGACATCTTGACCCAGGTGCGGAAGCCCCCAGAGAACTTCCAGCTGGAATAGGCACTCTCACAGGCCTGCATGAAACCTACCCTGTTTGGGCTTGGAGGAAGGAAAGAAGGAAGATAGATCCAGGTCAATCCAACTTTGGCAGCAGGCAGCAGGACATTGCATGCTGGTTTCTTTGCTGGGACAACCAGGATGCTGCCCACTCCCTGCCTCCTCTCCAAATTATGTTTGCCTCAATAGGGCTGTTTGTCAGTCACCAACAAAAGCAAGGCCTGTCCCTGTTTTCTCTCCATTTGGTTTCCAAATGGAGGGGGAGTTGTCACTGGCCTCAAGGCAGGAGCATGAACCCTGAAGCTCCCAATGGGAGAAATCCTCCTCCCTCTTCCCATCATTCCTATCAACTGCTACTAAAGCTGTTGGCAATGAAGTTGGCAGAAGCTCCCCAGAACATGGCGCTCGCGGCTCGTCGGAGAACTCTGGACTGGAGCAGAGCCTGGGGGAGCCCTCACTGGCCCATCAGTTCCCTCTGGAAGGCCCAAAGAGGGGAAGAGTGTTCCTTGGGGAGCACTCGGCCAGATGGGACACCTGTAACATCAGCCCCAAGACAGTGCAGATGCAACAAAGTCAAAGCAAACATACAAACAAGTAAAAACTGCAGCAGTGGACTGAGGACGCCCATGAAAGGAGTATGGAGTGGGGTCTGGATCCCAGGGAGAGTCTTCCAGGAAGAAGGCAAGACAAGGGGGAGGGGATTATATTATAGGTGGTAGAAAGGGTGGACGATGCTAAGGTAGAGACTCCAAGCTCTGGGGCGGAAGAACAAAGAAGTGGTGGTGTGGCATGGAGAAAGCTTGCTGCATGTGCAGCTGGGGAGCAGCCTCCCTGCTTGCTCTGAATGGAGCCTCTGGGCTCAGCAGGACCCGGTAGGAACTAAGTCCCTCTCAGCTCAGTCACATGAAGAACATGCCCCTGCTCTCTAGGCTCCAAGGTGTGACCCCAAAGCAGGTGTGTGGAGCAGACAGGAACTTCCTGATAGTCAGTGGACATTCATCACTGTAAATTAAAGACTAAGAGAAGTGGCAGAGCTTACATCCTCATACTAAAGATGCGGTAAACCCTTGAACAACACAGGTTTGAACTGGGCGGGTCCACTTACTCAAAGATTTTCTTCCGCCTCTGCCACTCCTGAGGCAGCAAGACCAACACCCTCCTCCTCAGCCTACTCAACATGAAGGCGATGAGGATGAAGTAAGCCTTTACAATGATCACTTGCACTTAATGAATAGTAAGTATATTTTCTCTTCCTTATGATTTTCCTAATAACATTTTCTTTTCTCTAGTTTATCACAAGAATGCAGTTTATGATATATATTACACACAAAATATGTGTTGTTTATGTTATTCGCAAGGCTTCTGTCAATAGTGGGCTGTTAGTAGTTAAGTTTTGGGGGAATCAAAAGTTATACACAAATTTTTGACTGGACAGGCAGGAGTGGTTAAGTTTGGTAACTCCAAACCCCTAATTGTTCAAGGGCCAACTGTATTTTTTCAAGCAAACACACACTGAGCCCTCACTAAGGGCAAGACACGGTTCCTGTGCACACTGCCGAGAAACCAAGGAACCAGACAAGAGCTTGCCCTCATGGGGGCTTACAAATCAAAGGCAGCTTCCCTCACTCTTCAGCAGCCCCAGGCAATGGGCCAGACCACTGTCTCTCCAGAACCAGCCAGCATTAAGTGCATGGAGAGCCAGCGTGCTCCTCCACACCAGACTTGCTTAACTTTGTGGGAGGATGTTGAGTGGACTGATCGAGCTCATGAGACCCCTTCCTGGGCCAGTGGGTCATCTGGGAATTCCCCTTCCCTTCCTTGCCCTTACCCCTCCGTCTCTAGCCCAGAGATGTGCAAGGCTGAAATGAGATAAAAAGTAGACAATAAGCCCACTGTGAACTCTGAAAGGCCACCTTTGCAGGAACTCCTGGAAAGAAGAGAAGAGGAGGTAGTCAATGGCGCTGAAGTCCTCACTACTCTTGTTCAGACGGAACTGGAGGAAGACCAGCTCCCGCTTTTTCACTTCCCGGGGCCCCTGGACAATCAGGGCAGATTTCTGCAGAGAAACAAAGGACAGAATCTCAGTCCTGTGAGAACTCACAGAGTCCTCTAGGCCTGAGGGCAAAAGCAATGACTGGGCTCCTTGCCCAGTGGTCTCCAAAGGGACTACTAGCCAGACCCTCGTGTTCAGGTGAGAGCAGGCGCAGGCTGGGATGCATGCTCATTCCTGGGGAGTCTTCCCTGCACCAGAGTTGAATGCAGCTCATCCTCTGTCCACTTTTCTCATTGGTTGAGTTATGGAAGCTCTTAATTTAGCAAGGATGTTCACTTTCATTTGTTATGTGTGCAAATCTTTTCTTCCAGTCTGTCATTTTTCTTTTAAATTTGTTTCCAATGTCATTTGTCATATGGAAACTTTAATGTAGTAAAACCTATAAATCCTTTTCTTTACGGCTTTGGGTTTTGCTTGCTGAGGAAAGCCAAAATTCTATCAATATTCTTCTCTATTTCTTTATAGCACTTTTTAACCTTTTCTAGATACTACCTGGCTTTAAGCTCTGAATATGGTATGAAATAGGGATCTAACTGCTACTTCCCAAACAATGGATAGAAACAGGTTTTAAAGCCTCTTCCCCTCCCTCCCTTATCCTATACTAAATTCAATATAGAACCAATATCTGTGTCTGCTCCTGGCCCTAGCAGAGCCCACACATTTGTCTGTCTCCATCCAGTACTGTACCAGTTTGATTCCTGTGGTTTTCCACTGTTCTGAGATCCAGGCAGGTGCCCTCCCTACTACTCTTCTCCATCCCCAAACTTGTCTTGATTATTTTTGAACATGTGTTCATCTAAGAATGCTTTAAAACTAGCCTGCTTAGTTCCATAAAAAAATTCATGGAGACTTTTAACTGTGATGGAAACTGAATTTATATATTAATTTTAGAAAAAATATCTTTTACATTAACTTTTATAAATGCTCTACAAATATTTGGAAGCGAATACATTGTCAGTTACAAAGTTTTGTGCCCCCACATGTACACCCACACATACCATACATACTCTAAATTTATTCACTGTGCTATTCAATTCTTATCTAGTCTATTTGATCTGTGAATTTCTGAGAGGGGTGTTTAAAGCATGCTGTAAAATGATGGTATTTTTACTTCTAATGGGTTTTGCTTAAAATATATAAATGGCATGCTGTTTTGTCCATAAGGTTTTGGAAGTGTTCAGTCATCTTAATGGAGATGACGGAGTTTAACCTCTTATCAATGTTAAACATCCTTCTTTCAACCTTTGCACATGGAATTCCACACTGATTATTAATATTGTCATTTCTGGTTTTCATTGTATTTTCCCAAGACAGCTTTGTCCACCTATTTATTTTTCAATCTTTCTATGCCATTTTGTTTTAAGTGTGCAGCAGAGTGCACTGTCCCCGGTTTCCACGATCCATTTATTCCTTGAGTACTAGAATGGCTTTCCCAACTCAGATTTCAACAGAATCCACTTGCCCTGCTGGAGCCTCATTTCTGGCCTCAAATGTGGCCATGGATGAAGTTCCTAATGTGTGAAAGAAAAGGAGACTCATTCAACTCCATGTCATTTCTTGAAAAGGGGACTGCTAGCTGGGTGCAGTAGTGTGTGCCTATAGTCCTAGCTACTCGGGAGGCTGAGGCTCGAGGATCGCTTGAGTCCAGGAGTTCTGGGCCGTCATGCACTATGCTGATCAGGTGTCTGCACTAAGTTTGGCATCAATATGGTGACCTTCTGGGAGCAGTGGACCACCAGGTGGCCTAAGGAGGGGTGAACCAGCCCAGGCTGGAAATGGAGCAGGTCAAAGCTCCTATGCTGAACAGTAGTGGGATTGCACCTGTGAATAGCCACTGCACTCCAGTCTGGGCAACATAGTGAGACCCCGTCTCTATTATAAAAAAAAAATTAAAAAAAATAAAAACAGGGAACTGCTTGCCTTCACTTCTTACCTTCCCAGGCGTGGACATGTACGCACCCGCACACACCTGCACATAAACACAGCCTACATGGACCAGAACAATGCCCAGGAGACAGCACAGTGACAAGACAAAAGTCATGGCAGGATCATCCTTTGAGGCAGCACGGCCCACTATGTCACAGAGTCTGCATGCCAGGACTGTTCTCAATCCTTCTCCCTCATCTCAGCCACTGTATTTGTGGGTTTTGTTTTTATTGGTAGCCTATACTCTAATAGACAATTTATTAGCTGACACTGGAGTGTTTTATGGTTGCAAAAAAACCTAAAAATGAGGCATCAGCCAAACATTTGGGTGGAGGGAAAATAACGGGCAGTAAGGAAACAGGTAAGAATCCTGTAGGTTGGAAAGGTGGTGCACATTATTGTGCCGGACCAGAGCATTTGATAAAAATTAACTACCATTAAATTGAGAGCATGAAAGAAAGCTCCAGAAAATCAGAACAATTCTTAAGATTTTACAAATATAACAGGATAAGACCTTGACTGGGGTCACTTTTATACGGACTTGATTGGACACAAACAGCCAGAAGCCTACACATTTCTGAAATCTCACTGCAAACAAAGGTAGTGGGAGGAGGAGGCAAGTAAGAAGCCACCCTCCAAGTTTGCGACTGTTTAGACCTAAAGCCGCTTCCAAAACCACACAAGCAGGAAGTGAGTGGCACAAGCTGTGCAGCCCCCAGGGAGGGCGTATTTTCTAATGTCCACTTCAGATATCGCCACAGAGCACTACCACCAAGGCAGAACCTTCCAGCAGACAAGGCCAGAGCACATAGGAGTCTCTTTCTGAGGGTAGCAACAGGTTCAAACCAAGGAGCTTACTTCATACCAAGAAGGAGTCTCACTGGTCCCAACCGGCAGGGTTTCACCACTGCTGCCAGGCAGACCTGCAAGCCCTTCTCCTTCCTTTTCCAAATGGGACCTCTACTGCTCTCATCTTATTCTTCCTCCACTGCTATACACTGGTTTGGGTAGGAAACTTGAGGGATAGGGAGGAGATGACTTCTCTGTTAGTTTATAGCTTGTGGAATTCAAGGAAGTGATGGAGGAGACGAACCATTACTCAGAGCTGGGGGCAGCAGCTACATTCAATTTCATTTCCATAAAAACAACTCTCTTTCTGTGCCCTTATTTCAAGCGTTTTTACAAAAATGTAGTCGAATTATGTAACTATTGTAACAAGTGGAATTGGCCTATACAGGTTTGGAAATGACCCTCACTGACTCCTCCTAAGCATATACTCTTCAACTGGGGGAGAAGAGGGCATACAGAGAATAGGCACTTGGTGGGACAGAAGCAGCCTTGAGTGTTCATTAGTGTGTTTTACAGAGAGAAGAAGAGAGTTGCAAATCGAGACAGAGAGCTTCCATTATACATATAAGTCCACAGCAGAACTGTTTAAAAGTTGTTTTCTTTTTTGTTTTAATTAGCTTTCATTTCCCTATTCTAGAGTCCATTCTATTTGTTCATCTTGGTCCTTTTATGTCACTGGTTTCATGCAAATGTCTGGAGACCATTAATTTTCCATTCTTATTTATGAATGAAGGATTAGGTTGACTAGTATAGGTCTGGGGTTTTGCTTTCTTCCAAAGTAGTAAATTTCAGTTTCTCTAATAGGCCTCTCCCTTGCATGGGAAAGCTAAGTATGCTCTGTGGAAGCACACTGATTATTTCAGTGTGTTTCTCTCTGGGGGGAGTCCTTTCCTTTAGTCCTCTCTCCTTTTCAATTGTAAGTCTGCTCTGTTTCCTATGCCTAAGCAGAGAACCTTCCCTTAGCTTCTGTAGAGAATGGTCCAAGGTCTTTTCCCAGAAGCAACCATCCCCAGCGGCTCTGCTTGCCTGGTTAGGGTATAGGGTGCATCTGGCCCAGCCAACAGGCAGTCTGGTAATGACCACCCTGCTCTCTGAAGGTGCTGGTTCCAAGCTGGGGGTTTGGAAGGAAAGACTGCACCTCTACAGCAGGTCTCTCCTGCATCTGTTTTGGGTTAGGGGTTTTCTCTAATTTTTTTGTTCCACCAATCTGTTCCAAGCTGTTTTTTATACTTTATACCAGCTCCTCAAAATGTCTGGTCCACTGTCTTGCACACTGGTCCCTTCGTGTGCAAAGCTATTACTGATGTTCTAGTCTGTTCTCTCCCATTCCTTGCAGGAATCATTTCAGTAGGATTTTAGGAGGGAGCCTAGCGTACACATATTAACAAAAAAAATTAGTGTGATTTCATCTTAAAACCCATTAACAGTTCCCTGTTACCCAAGGGAGCAAGTATGGCTCTACAGCATGATGCACGTGCTTTTCTCATCTGGCCATTATTCTGTCCACAGCTTCATCTACCATCAGTCTTCCAGGGCTCCTGACCCTAAGAAACACCTCCCCACCAACTGCAATTGTGCCCAGGAGCACAAGTACAATATATCCTCTCTTTCCTTTAGGTCACAGTGGCACTTCCTCTGCCTAGAAAACCTTTCTGAAGCAAGGATACGAAATGAAAAATGTGAGATATAAATCAACACAAAACTCCTACCCTGCCTTTGAAACCCTGTGCAGTGCCACTCCTCCAGGTGCTCGGAACTCCATTCCACAGTCATCGTTCCCATCTGTACTGTGCTGTGCGTGACAGTACAGCCAGGCCAGAATCCAGGAGTCCTTGTCCCCAGACCGGCGCTCCTTTACGCTGGCATATTTATTTCCAACTCTGGATTCCTAGGCCCCCAACTCAGAAATTTTGATTCAGTTGGCTTCACATGGAACCTGGAAATTCATATTTTCAAAAAGTATCCTGGCAATTCTGTCAAGCAGACAGGTATGGTACCCACTTCGCTACATCAACCAGCCCCACCCTGTCATTCTTCCATTAGGGACAGGGTCTCACCACACTGTCAGAAATCCCTGAGCATTACTCAGCAAAGGCTGGAGGCCCCACTGTCCTCCCTGAATGCAGGTGAGCCAATCACAGCCAAGTGTCCACCTGGCACAGCCACATGTCTGCTTGGGGACCAAGGCCCCACACTGAGTGAGTGGAAGAAGGACTCTTGGGAAGAAGGAAACTTGGGCCCTTGGAGTGCGGGGCTAACGAAGCAGCTGCCCAGACCCAGCTCAGGCAGACGGGAATTACCACAGTCTGATTGGAGAAGGGGTCCGTGTAGTTGATCCTCTGGGTGGTGCAATTCATGTCACCCGGCTGGCCAGGGCTTGTGAGAGGAGGAATGACCTCATAATGGTGTTTGCAGCTGAGCAACTGGGCTTGACCGGGGTACAGGGCAATACCTGGGGGCATAAACAGGAAAAGCGAGTGTCAGAAATCACAGTCCTGACCACATCCCTGAAATCATCTCACACCTATCAACAACCAATGTTCTGGATTCCCTGGATGACTACAGGGAAGGGAGAAGAAAAGGGTTTCAGAGAGTGGGCAGCCACATCCCCTGGCCTCAGAAGACCCACTCTAGCAGAGGGCACAAGCCCCTCCTCAGTAAGCCCCTGGCCATCCTGGGATCAGCCACCCTGATGTCCACATCAAAACCTGCTCTACCTCAGAGCCCTGCTCCACACCCTTCAAGGGAGTGTCCCTTGACTGAGCCCTGCTGTGCCATCCCTCCGGGCCAAGTCCCACCTGCAGAATTGGTGGGAGGCTCTAAGCTGTGGAATTCCTCAGAACTCATTTTGTCTTTTAGACTGGGAGCCCCCAGTGTGCAAGTCACATCCCAAGAGTCCTCCCTCTTCTCAGCCCAGGCACCTCTACTGACAGCAACTGTGCAACCTCAAGGGCAGCAATGCTAAGACAGCAGCACATGGCATCAGAGACAGACAGACTTCAGAGACTAAGAGACCAGACAGAGAAAGTAAAACGCACAGATACAGAGACTGAAGCAGACACACAGAGAAGAGGGACAAACACAAGACAGGAAGGAACAGGCAGAGGAGCCATGACCAGCACACCTGACTGTTGGAGGCTGGCAGGATGCCCCAGAGAGAGGGCACCTGGACTCTGGCTCTGCCGTGTGAGCAGGTCCTCCCTTGGGTCATGCAGGGGCATCTGTGGACAGAGCAGGTGTCACACACTGGGTGGCCAGGGCCCAAGTCACACAGCTTATGCTTCCCCATTTATTCTACAGCCCCCAGAATATCCAGTGTCAGCCCTGTGGTCTGGAGCAGATGGCTTGCTCTGTAGCAGAGCGGACTCCCCCACTCAGGGACCAGACACCCCAGTGGGGCAAAAAAGGTATACATGGTGTGGCCTGGGAGTCCCTGTTCAGGCAGGGTTCCTGCCTACCTTGAATGGCCTTACCTCCCCTGCCACCTCCCTACCTTACAGTCCAGCCTTGACTCCTGCTTCTCCTTATCCCTGTCCTTTAGCCCCAGACAAGTTAGTCTCATTCTCTCCAGAGAAGCCCTCTGCCTTCCTACACACCCTTAGCTATGCTGATCCTCATCCCAAAGACAGTCTCTGCCTAGCTATGTGCTTTTCAAAGCCCAGCTCAACCCTTACCTCTCTGCCAAGCTTTCCTTGACCCCTTCAGTAGCCTGCAGTAGCTACTCCAGGCTCTGTCCATTTCTCTCCTCAGCACATAATATGCTCCCAATGGCAGCTGTTTGGGAGTGAACTCTATACCTAGACTACGCTTGGGCTCCTCTGTCCTGCCTATAGTGCCACAAATACAATGGCAGCTCAAGGAGTATCTGCCAGCTGACACCCAGATCTGGTGCCCTGAGGCCTGGTCCAGGGGCAGGCTCTACCTGGGGCATCATAGCGATCCACCTCCTTGTAAGACACAGACATGACAGGGTGCTTGAGTTTCTCACGAAAGTCTGTGATGGTCTGGTAGACCAGGAAGACAGCCACAGCCATGAGCAGCAGGTAGATGAAGATGAGCAGGACCGAGAAGACATTCTTCAGGCAGGCCTTGCTGAAGCGGATGCTGCTGGAGGCAGACTCGCTGTCCAGGCCTAACAACAACAAAACACCACGTGACTCAGGACACAGGGACAAGGTACAGCCCGAGATGGCCAGCAACCTCCAGACCCTCGCTTACCTCACCAAGGAGGTAAGGTCACCTGCATGCCCAACCTCTCCACCCCACCCCACAAATCATAACAAAGGGTATGTAAACATTTGCTAAACAGCATCTCTGCCAGGCAGAGGACACCAAGCTGAAGGAGACTTATTGTCTTTAAGGAGTTTACTCTCAAAAGATAAAAGATAAAAAATAATAAAAATTTTAAAAGCAAAACAAAACGAAAATGAAAAAAAAAAGGAACAGAAAAAGGAGTTGCCTCTCTAGAGGGATAGAAAGTTACAATCCAACAAGTGAACTGGCCTCAAGTTACCTCTCTGGCCTTACCCCTCACCACTCTACTTCCTCAATTCTCCCAGCTCTAGCTCTACTCCTTGACTTTCTGTTCTTCTGGCGTGTCCTTCTCAACCCGGGAGCCTCTCACATTTACCATTCCCTCTGCTTGAGTTTTTTCTTTCACAGCTGATGCCTCACTCATCCTAAGCCCCGAAAGGTATCTACTTGGCATCTGGCTTCCAACAGTGACAGAGTAGCTTGGTCACACCATCCTTCCACAGAAGCATTTTAATTTAGAAAGACATTTTCTCGGCCGGGCACAGTGGTTCATGCCTGTAATCCCTGCACTTTGAGAAGCCGAGGCGGGCAGATCAGCAAGGTCAGGCATTCAAGACCAGCCTGACCAACATGGAAAAACCGCGTCTCTACCAAAATTACAAAATTAGCAGGTGTGGTGGTGCATGCCTGTGATTCCAGCTACTCAAGAGGCTGAGGCAGGAGAATCGCTTGAACCCAGGAGGGGGAGGTTGCGGTGAGCCGAGATCATGCCATTACACCCCAACCTGGGCAACAAGAATCAAACTGTCTCCAAGAAAAAAAAAAAACCACGGCATTTTCTTGAGGAAGCCTCTCCTGACTCCTAACCTTTACTTAGGGACCTCTTCCTCAGTGTTCCCAGAGAGCCCTATATGTCCCCTACTTCATCACTCTGCAATGTCATGTCTATACATCTTTTATTCCCCTAGGCTGTGAGTTCCATGAGGGCAGGGTTGGGGCCAGTCTTATCCGTAACTGAATCTTTAGCCCTTCATGCTGTGCCTGGAACATTCTGCATTTACATAGTGACTGATTAAACACGTCCTGATGCCACTGGTACAACACAACTCTGTCTCCCCTACCTCCTTCATAAAATCCTGAGGCTAGAAGCTAGATTAATCTCTGTTATGCATGGAACTGTATCCCCTATGCCCACATTCATGTTGAAGCCCTAACATTCAATATGACTATATTTAGAGACAGGGCCTTTAAGGATATAATTGAGGTTAAATGTGGCCATAGGATGGCCACATTCTGATCTGACGGGACTAGAATCCTTATAAAAGAAGGAAAAGACACTAGCAGTACATGCATACAGGAAAAAAAGAAAAGACACAATGAGACGGCAGCTGTCTGCAAGCCAAGGAGAGAGGCCTCACCAGAAACCAATGCTGCTGGCACCTTGATATTAGACTTCACCCTTCCAGCACTGTGAGAAATAAACGTCTGTTGTTTATGCCACTCAGCCTGTGGCATTTTGTTAACAGCAGTCCAAGCTGACTAAGATACTCCCACAGGGCTCCCTGTGCCCTCTCTGCTTCTCAGCTGAAGATGGGGCTCCCTGAGAAGAAGCCCTATGGCCTTCACAGCCCAGCTGAGCAAAAGGCTAAGAACAAGGGAAGCATCTGAACGTAAGCCCCAAAAGGCATCTGGCTTCCAACAGTGACAAAGTAGCATAGTAACACCACCCTTCCTCAGAAAACAATTATAAACTTTGAACAATATATTTTAAATTATTTGAAGGCACTGGAGAAATGATCAAAAGCAGGGAGAAATTGAGAGTCTACCCTTGAAAGAGAAGAACTATACTTGGTGAGATTTATAAATCTGTAGCTTTTTGTCTAAGAATACATGTCAGTCCCTGTAAGGCATGGTTCAGAGTGACAGGACAAAGTTCAGGACTGGAAGGGCAGCCAGAAAGTTAAGAAGAAACCGTGAAAGGGAGGGAGCCACATAGTGGTGAACCTCCCAAGTCTGCAACTAAATTTATATTCAGATGCTTGGCTGGAGAACTCAGAGGCCAGTAAAAAAGTAACAATTGGAAACTGGAAGAACTGCATGGAGATTTTAACTATGGCTAATGCAGTGGAGATAGAGTTCAGAGCTTAAATCTTGCCCTATTAACTATATGCCAAAAAGAAAATCCTTCTGAAGATCATAACAGAATCCAGAATCTCTACATCATTCATAATGTCCAGTGTTCCATCAAAAATCACAAGACATGCTAAGAAACAAGAAAATGTGACCTGTTCTCAAGAAAAAAGCAATCTAAAACCAACACCAAGAGGAGCCACTGTTGCAATTGAGCAGACGAGCACTTTACAGCCCTTAAAGGAAAACACCTGGATAAGGAATAAGGACAAGATCAATAGAGAAACAAACTAGAAACAAGAGCCAAATACAGAAAATTTCACTTTTTCAGAATGAGAAAGCATTTTGGAGATGAATGGTTGCACAGCAATGTCAATGTACTTAATATTACTGAACTATATACTCAATGGTCAAGATGATGAGTTTTACATGATGTGTATCTAACCACAATAACGTTTCATTAAATTTAAAAAAAGATGGAAATTATAGATCTGACAAGAAATAAATGAAATAAAAAGTTCACTCTATAGGCTTGATAGCAAAAGGTGGCAGGAAAGGAGCCAGTGGGCTTTAAGTTAAATAAACAGCAACTATCCAATCTGAAGAAAATATTAAAGGAAAAAAAAAACCCTAATGGAGCCCAGATAATTGTTACAGTATCCAGCAGTGTAATGACATGTAACTGGAGACAGAAAATGTCTCACAAAAAGTATCTGAAAAAAACAATGCCTCAAAACTGGAGAAAGACATTAACTTAAAGATCCAAGAAGCTCAATAAATGCCAACCAGGATAAGTAAAAAAAGACCATCCTGAGGCAAATCATAGTCAAACTGCTAATTAAAGAAAAGAGAAAAATCTTGAAGGTGGTGAGGAAAAATTTTTTTAAAAAATGTATGTATCTATGAGTGTATGTGTACATATGTATATATCACATATAGTGCACTGATACTAATGACGACTAATTTCTGAACAGAAACAATGGAGACCAAAAGACAATGGAACATCTTCAAATGCTGAAAGAAAAAAATTTTTGTCTACCAGTATAATTCTCTATCCAGCAAAACTTCAAAAATGAAGGTGAAATATTTTCAGACTGGGCGCAGTGGCTCACGCCTATAATCCCAGCACTTTGGGCGGCCAAGGCAGGTGGATCACAAGGTCAAGAGATTGAGACCATCCTGGTCAACATGGTGAAACCCCGTCTCTATTAAAAATACAAAAATTAGCTGGGCATGGTGGTGCACACCTGTAGTCCCAGCTACTCGGGAGGCTGAGGCAGGAGAATTGCTTGAACCCAGAAGGCGGAGGTTGTGGTGAGCCGAGATCATGCCATTGCACTCCAGTCTGGTAACAACAGCGAAACTCCGTCTCAAAAAAAAAGAAATATTTTCAAACACAATGGCTGAGAGAATTCATCACTAACAGACCTGCATTACAATGCATGCTGACAAAAATTCTGAAAGCTAAAAGGAATTGACACTAGATGGTAACTCTCAGATGTAAAGAGCATTGAAAATGTTAAGTGAGTAAAACAAAAAAACTACTTAAAAAAAATCACCACTGCCTACAGCAGAAATTACTCAACAGTAAAGTTTACAACTTGCAAAAAACAAAAAACAGAGAAACGAAAAACCCCAGAAAGACAAAAACAGCAAAATGGTAGAGCTAAATCCAGCCATATTAATAATTACATCAAATGTAAATGGACTAAACAGTTCAATTAAAAACAGAGACTGTCAGCCTGGTTTAAAAACTAAACTCAACCATATGCTTTGATAGGAAATGGATTTTAAATACAAAGACACAAAAGAAAATCTGCTCATAATTATTTCATTTTACTTCATTTAAAAGCACAAAAGCAGAATCAGCACAAAACTATCAGTCTCCTGGGTTGGTAAAGACAAGGAAATAATTCATTCTTTACTTCTACAAGATCAAGCACCACCTCTACATGCAAGATTTTGTACTAGGTGCTTTAGGGAGATATCAAGAAAGGAGGACTGATGGACTATAATTCAAAGTACTACAGAATTTGGAAAGATGTGAGGATATAAAACATAAGGTTTCTTTCAACTGGAGGAAAAATGGGAAGCACAGGGAGAGTAGCAGTTATCAGCAAAGACTCTGTAGAGGGGGTCATGTTAGTTCTGCACCTAAACTATAAAGAGAATCTTAAGAAATAATTTGGGCCGGGCGTGGTGGCTCATGCCTGTAATCCCAGCACTTTGGGAGGCCAAGGTGGGTGGATCATGAGGTCAAGATAACAAGACCATCCTGCTCAACATGGTGAAACCCCATCTCTACTAAAAATACAAAAACTTAGCTGGGCATGGTGGCACATGCCTGTAATCCCAGCGACTCAGGAGGTTGAGGCAGAAGAACTGCCTCAACCCAGGAGGCGGAGGTTGCAGTGAGCCGAGATCACGCCATTGCACTTTAGCCTGGGTAACAAGAGTGAAACTCTGTCTCGAAAAAAAAAAAAAAAAAAAAAGAAAGAAAGAATTTTCATTATTCATTTATTTTCTGAACTGAAAGAGTAGATATACTGCACAGTGGTTAAGACTTAGCACGAACTTTAGAGTCAGAGTTATGAGCTCCAGCTGCAGCTTTGCTACTAACTACTCCATGGTCCTAGACAAGTTACTCAATGCACCTAAAGCCTTACATTTTTCATGTAAAATTGAAATAATCCCATTTTACAGGATTTTTGAGAGAAGTAAATGAGAGAATGCTGTAAAATGCATTAC